CGGCGTTTACTGTGTGAATTTTATATTGATGGGATACATCATAGTCGAACGTTCATGAAATAATAATCGGCGCTCCCGAGACGCGCTGAATGAGCAGTGCCAGTTGTAGTGCCGCCGACTGCGAGTAGTGGGCGTGGCTTAGACGTCGCGCGCTTGCGGATCCCGAAAACACCTAATAGCGCGTTCTCTCGGCCGTTGCATACGTAACACTTTGGGTATCACGCCCTCTTAATTATTGCTTTAAAAATTTAAAATCTTCAGTCTCGGTTTGCTTAAAACAGGTAAGTAATTTTACTAAGTACTAACTATATAATATAAATTAATTACCTAGTAGAAAAATAATCGAAAGAAATATTTATACTTTAGCCTACTTAATACTACATATATTAATAATAGTTACACATATACATACACATTTCAATAATATTTTGTACCTACTTATTGCGACTTGCAGGTATAATTACCTCATATAGTCATGATATTTATATAATTTGTATTGATATATTGTATATTTTGGTGTTCACCACTGCCCGTACATCATAATACAGTTTAAAACTATCTAAAGTGTATGAAGTGTATATTATAGTGAGTTTTGCATTTACAGTTTAAACTTGATCCAGCCTCTGAACAGTCTGAACCAAGTTTAAACACTATTGTAAAACAGACTCATAATAAAGAATAATATATAAAGAATCTTTTCCTTCCATTCTAATATAAATAGTAAACACCTTTTATTTTCTCTTTAAATCCTGGTAGGTACTTAAATACTTACACATGTATTATATATTTTTTTAATTTTATAATTATCTTGGTAATATTATACATGTATATTATGTTACAATATTGTACATAATAATATGCATATTTTGTAATATTTACCAGTAATTTTTGGCTTACCCGGACAACATTGTTGGCTTACATAAGTACCTATTTTGTTTCTAAAATTTATTTAAAAGTGAACCGAAGGTATTTATTACCAAATAMGAGTACCTATGTTGATTCTCCTCAAAAATATTTTTAAAGAGTAGTGCATAGTGGTAACATACTACATATACTTAGTGTACCTACTGGCTACTATCTATATAACGCTACATAATTAATATTAGGTACTTATATTGATTTATTTGGCCGTTTTCTTTTAATATTTTTAATTTGTGAGATTTTGAGCCTATGAAGGCCAGATAATGTTTCCAACATTAAAGAATAACTAACAAGTAAATAAGATAATATTATTATAGTGTTTTTTGAACATCAATTATTTAATTATTTGCCATATAAACGATTGTAGAACATTATTAAGTACACCAAAAAAAAAAGTTAATATTCGAAGTGTAAATCCAGGTCATTATTATCATTTTGGTTTAACTGCTGGAATATTAAGATATGCAACATCTGATTTGAGTGAGGTTAAAATAGCCATTGGCATTGATGGTCTTCCTTTATCCAAAAGCAGCAACAGTCAGATTTGGCCTATTTTAACATATATTATTGATAGAACAAAGAAAGTTTTTCCTGTAGGCATTTATCACGGAACAGCTAAGCCAAAAGATAGCAATGATTTTATGGCAGATTTCATTACAGAAATTAAAGAACTCATAGTTAATGGTATTGTACTAAATGGTTCTAACAAACAAGTATCAATACATGTATTTGTATGTGATGCCCCGGCTAAAGCCTTTTTATTAAAAATCAAAGGCCATTCAGGGTTTTTTTCTTGTACTCGATGTGTTCAAGAAGGCGAGTATTATAAAAATTGTGTCTGTTTCCCATACTCTGATCCAAAATCTGATAAAAGGACACATGAAATGTATTTAAGGAGGTTACATGAAGAGCATCATGTTGGGAACACATTATCAGAGCTACCAGGACTAGATTTGGTCCAATCAATTTTTTTAGACTATATGCATTTAGTTTGCCTCGGAGTTGTAAGAAAATTGATTTTACTTTGGCTGCATAAAGGACCATTGTATGTACGTCTGTCTAAACATAATGTTAAACAATTAAGTATGTCGTTATTAAGTATAAATTCTTATATACCTTGTGATTTTGTTAGAAAAGCAAGAGAAATACATGAAGTAGGCAGGTGGAAAGCCACTGAGTTACGGTTATTTTTAATATACATAGGTCCTATAGTATTAAAAAATATTGTCAAAAAAGATGTATACACAAATTTTATGGTTTTACATGTTGCTATGTTAATACTGCTAAGTCCAAATCGACAAGACTATGTAGCGTATGCAAAACAACTTTTAAATTACTTTGTAAAAACCTTTGAAATAATTTATGGTCGTGAACACATTTCACATAATGTTCATGGACTTCTTCATATATCAGACGATTATAAATACTGTGGCCCTCTGGATAATAGCAGTGCATTTGTATTTGAAAATTTTATGAAAGAGTTAAAAGCTAAAATAAGAAAACACGATAAACCATTGGAACAATTAGTAAATCGATATACTGAAAAATACAACAAGATACAAATACCTCAAAATCCAAAACTGCAATTTTTGGTATCAAACCACATTCAAATGGACCATTAGTTAACAACATTGATGGAGTTCAGTACAAACAGTTACAAATAAATCGTACAAAAATTAATATATCTGCAGTTGATAAAGAGAGTTTTTTCCTTACTAAAAGTGGAGAAGTTGCAAAATGTTTAAACATTGTACACTGTCAAAATCATATAATACTTATTGGAAAGATTTTTGAATGTAAATATATATTCTATACGAAGCCAGTTGATTCAACATTATTTAATATTTGTTTTGTAAATCATCTTTCGGAAAATTTAAAATACTGGAATGATTTTGAAATTGAAAAAAAAATAATGTTAATAACTCACAATAACTTATTAATTGCAATGCCTTTAATTAATTCCTAAATTGTATTTTTATAATATAAGTCTAATAATAGTGTACATTTTGTTTTATTATTATTGTTAGTTATTTTGTAAATTAATTTCAATTTGATTTGTATATATCATGGATTCACATTTCAGAATGTGGACCGTTGTACATTTTATTAAAGACAATACTGTTGAATCAGTTCCTAATATATGKTACAAAAGAAAAGAAAACAAGTGTGCTTGGCCTATATTAAAACATTCTGTAAAAAAAATGATAGAAAAAAGAGCATATCCAAATGAAATTGATTTTCAGTGGTTGCCAGCTAGAGTTCTTGGACATTCATATGGTAAGACTTAGTTTAAATTAAAAAATTGTATAATTTATGTTTTTTTTTTTTTTTGTAGGTAGTTTACACGAAGCTCTTCAAAAAGCTAACAAAGCACAATTTTTTACAGATTTATCTTCAGGAAATGAAGATAATAACTGTTCGAAAAATTTAAGTTCTGTTAAATCTAAACGTATTCCAAGTCCTCCAACTTTTGTCATAAGTAAATAATGTTTTTTAATTTTAAACATTTATAAAACTATGTTAAACGTTTTTAATAGTAAATTTAATTAGCGTATTATTTAAATATTCTGTAATACTTTTAATTTAAATAGAAAAAGATGAAACTGCAGAGAAGTTGCAGGTTGATTTTGATATGATGTTTGAATCTGAAAATGAGGATAATGATGATACTGATAAAGATCCTGAGTACCAACCTGCAGAATTTGCTGTGAATGGTATATTTATTTTTTTATATTAAAATATTATTAATTAGTATTAAATTAAAATATGTTGTATATGCATAGTATAGGTATGTTATTTTTGTGTATAACTAATAGTTACATTTTACAGTTGATATGACGCCAGAGAAATCACCAATTGTCGATAATTTTATTTTAAATTCACCAAGTGGAAAATTTATTGTTGAAAACAACTACAATAATCTTTTAAATGAACAGTATTCACAAACAAAAAATGCAGGTATTTCAGTATCTCAACCTACACTTGTTAATACTCCAACAACAGGGAACACGTTTAAACGATCCTTATTCAGGTCTGAACCATCCAATAAAGGTAAAATAATAATTTAAGTATATATAATAAGTATTCATAAGTTTTAAATTATTATATATGATTAATACTGGCTTCAACATTTGATTTAGGAAACATAAGCAAACCAAAGCAGGATCATAAATATTTTATGCCACCAGTTGGTATGTATTCCTATTTACTTTAGATAAAATTATAAAGTGTACAAAAACTAAAATATTATTTATAAACAATAAACATAAATAAATAGTATTGTCTTATGGTAAATTGTAGTAACTTCATTTTTATAACAATTTTAAATAATACTTAATATATTGAATCCTAAATTTCTGTAGTAATATATTTCAATGTATAATAAATTATTATTATATGCCTGAGCATAGCTGAACTTTTAAATAAAAATAATATTGTTTTTTTCTGTAAAAAAAAATATTAAATTAAACAGTATTATGTAACAAATATATTGAAAATTTGAATTTGATTTATATTTTTAATTGTTATGTGCCATATTATTGAGCTGAAATGGATATTACATTTTTTTTTATGTGTGTGTGTGTGTGTGTGTGAGAGAGAGAGAGAGAGAGTGAGAGAGAGAAAGAAACCTAATTAGGAGATTTTGAATTATGTTTATTGTATTAATATAATCAATATACTTATATTATTACATTCTTTATTATCAAGATAAGAAAATAATTAATTATAATAACAATATATTTTAGATTTCCAACATTTTGTGGTTAATACATTAACAAAACTTAAATTTGATATGGCTCAAGTGATTAACACAACAACTGCAACAAATTTATCACTGGAAAACCTACTCAATACACAGTTCCAAAACACATCTTTAAATATGACACAAACACTGAATGAACCAGATCTTAATGATGTTTTTCCTATTAATTCACTTGAAGAACTAAATCAGTTGGAAATAAAATTGGAAACCGATAAGCAGTTTAGATCAAATTTGGTATGTTTTTAAAATATGTGTTTTACCAAATTACAACTATAATTAATATTAAGTGTTTGTATGCAGATTTCAAAATTATCATTATTGGTGGGCACAAAAAGTGTAGGAGATAGTGTACGTCGTATAATGTTTAAAATGTTCAATGATGACATTTTAATTTCATACTCATTACAAGGCTTTAAAAAGAAAAAATGTTTTCAAAAGCTATCAGTTTACCATTTATTGATCGGTAAGTTGATATTGAATAAAGAAAAATTTTACATAGTTTTCAGTTTATTCAAATACTACTTATATTAAATAATTTTTAAAATTATATTTCTCACTTATTCTGTGAGGTAATATGATAATCACCCCCC